AGCCCAAAATATACTTTTTAAAAAGAAATTTTTATTGGAGTATAGTTGATTTACAATGTTGTGTTAGTTTCAGGTGTATAGCAAAGTGAATCAGTTATACATATAAGTATATCCATTTTTTTTCAGATTCTTTTCTCACATAGGCCATTACAGAGTATTGAGTAGAGTTCCCTGTGCTGTACAGTAGGTCCTTATTATTTATCTGTTTTATATATAGGCGTGTGTATATGTCAGTCCCAATCTCCCAGTTTACCCTCCCCCTGCTTACCCCCGGTAACTGTAAGCTTGATTTCTATATCTGTAACTCTATTTCTGTTTTGTAGATAAGTTCCTTTGTGCCCAAAATATACTTTTAAATTACATCATTCCAGACCAACATTAAAAACTTATATTTTGCTTATGTTGATAGAGTTAGTCAGAATTGCTTTACAAATATGAAAATCACTATTATCTTATTATTAGACAGTATAAGTAAATTATTTTAAAATCAGAAAAAAAATAACCAAAATAAAAAATTATTATTTACCTACAGTTCAAACCTGAGATAACAATTTGTTATATTTACTTCCAGCTTGTTATATTATTACATATATACCTTGCCATATGTCAGTATTTTAAAACATAATTTGTATCAGTTTATATACATTTTTTAGGAATGTCTATAAATTTTTATGAATATATATCTTAAAATTTTCTATGATCTAAGTTCTTTATATTTGTGACATGCATTTTCCCTTGAAATTATACTCCTTTCCAAATCAGTGAGTCTACATCTACAGCGACATTAAATAGTAGCACCAAATTCAAATCATCATATACCATTGTCTGGATAGACCACAATTTATTGCCCCAATGCCTGTTGCTGGACATTTAGATGTTTCTCACTGTTACTCACACTGCTGTGGTAGATATCCTCGTGGATAAATCTTTTCATCCTTGCTGCATAATTTCGTTGGATAGAAGCAGATTTGCTAGAGGAAAAGAATATGTATTTTTAAGGCTTGTCATACATATGGTGAAACTTTCCTTCAGAAAGGTGGTAGAGATAGTGATTTTTGGATGCTTCGTAAACTTTTCATTGTGCTCAGATCAAAGTGTGTTCGTAAATATCCTGACAACCGGCACTCCCTCATTCAATGCCAGTTATTACCAGTGGCTTATTTCAATTGTCATTAAACAGTGGTCACAATGAAAATGGTTTCCTGAGACTCCACTGAAATGCTGCCATAATTTCAGCACTTGTGGAGTGGATCTTCTCCTGCTAAAGTCTTATGTCAAGTTGAGGACACAGTTTGGCTTTGCTGCTACAAGTTGTTCAGCACCAACCCCAGTCCATACGAACTCACTCTTTTACGATAGTGTGAATCCCTGGGGCATGGGCAACTATCATTAGGTGAGATTTCAGGGAAAATGCTTGAAGTTTAGACAGTATCATAGTTGCTTCATGAAGGGGGCGAAACCTGAGACATTCGGGAGAGCGATGGGTGCACAGCTGACATCCAGCAGCATTCCCGTCATGGATTTTCAGATTATAGCAAGGAGGTTGGAGCGTGTTTATTCTGTCTTTGTTCGTAAGTGTTTTCATCACAACATCTCTGAAGAAAGTTGCTTTGGTTCTGAAAGAAGGAATTAATTGGCTGCTCAAAAAAAAAAAGAGGCATTAAAAAGAGACAACCTTGATTTCAAATGTTTGATCTCAACATGGCCAATCTCATCGCTTTCACTGCAAAATGCACCAGCATAGGGGTCATCTGATCTTAATCCCCAAGAGGGGGAAGAGAGCTAGTTGCAATAATTCTTGATCTGTTGCTGCCTTGACACACTCAAGGGAGGAAGCTGTTTCAGAGAGAAATCTTGTGGTTGTAAGGAAAAGGAAAGCCAATTCAAACTGATTGAAATAATAAAGGAAATGTTCGTGAAAAGTCCAGGTTCTGCTGTAACTTGTTCAGTTCAACAGGGTACCACGGGAAGAGTTTTTCTTTGACTGTCCTCTCCGCCCTCCCCCCTTATCTTCTTCAGCTGGAGGGTGGCTCCCTCTTAGGCACAAAATGGCTGCCAGCAACCCTCACAGGTGTCTGCTTCTCTGTTCATAGTCTATGAGGAAAGAGAACTTCTTTGCCTATGGTTCCTTAGACCTAGGAATCGTGCTTTTTAGAAGCCCCCGGCAAAAGTCTGCTTGTATCTCATTAGCCCAAATTGTGTCACATGACCATCCCTCAGCCAGTCACTGTGATGAGAGGTGGGCTCTGCTGTTTGGCTTCAGCCATTTAGGACCACCCTGTTGCTGGTACCATAAGTATTTTCTGAGGGGCAGGAAGTCTAACCAGGGGACCAACCAGTATCAAGAGGGAGGGAGAAGGGATACTGGGAGTGTGAGAAAAGCCAGTGTGCATTATGCAGAAGTTTTAAAAAGTACTCCCAGAGATCCTTATATGCCTCCTTGGAGGACTGTCTCTCCACCCACTTCACCATCCCTCAAGATGAAAACTGATAGCTTTGCCATCAATTTTCAGCCAAGGGGTTGAAACACCCTGGTGTATTGGGATAAGCTTGATAATATTACCTACAAGTCATTCCTAGTGATAGCTAAAGAGAGAAAGTTTATAAATGATTTTATTGTTTCATGTCTAGCTGAGCTTATTCAAGGCTATCCCAGGTGCTTTTCTGGTATTCCGTATGCTTTATTTAGTGAACAAGACGGGGTACTCTGGGGTCTTGCCGTAGATTCTCCACCTCTAACCCGAGCTGCTTGGTACAGGACACGTACTGGGTGACCCAGGAGAAAAGTGGCTGAGAATCAGGCAGGCTAGTAACAGTCCCTTCCCTGCACCCCAGACCCCACTCTCTATCCTCACCACCCCACTACAGACATCATTCAGTTTAAAAAAAAAAATTTATGGGAGTAGAGTTGATTTACCATGTTGTGTTAGCTTCTGCCTTATAGCAAAGTGAATCAGTTATGCATACACGTATATCCACTCTTTTTTAGATTTTCTTCCAATATAAGCCATTACAGAGTACTGAATAGAGTTCCCTGTGCTGTACAGTAGGCTCTTATTGTTTATCTATTTTATATATAGTAGTGTGTATATGTCAGTCCCAAACTCCCAGTTTATCCCTTCTCCCACCCCCACCTTCCCCCCTAGTAACCATAAGTTTGTGTTCTACATCCGTGGCTCTATTTCTGTTTTGTAAATAAGTTCATTCGTACCATTTTTCTTAGATTCCACATATAAGCGATAGCTATGATAATTGTCTTTCTCTGTCTGACTTACTCCACTCAGTATGACAATCTCCAGATCCATCCAGACATCATTCAACTTTGATACAGCTACATCCCCTGCCTTCCACAGTCCACTCAAAAGGCCCAGAGCAGCAGGCACCACAGCCCAATTTCATTTTCAGAGAAAGTGGGTGATGATGGCTGCTGAGAAAACACCACACCTCCTCCCACACGCCCGTATTACTATGATTTCTGTTAGTGAGTAGCTGAACTGTCCTCACTGTGCCTTCAGAAAACACTCTCAGTACAGTACCGCTGATCAGCCACGGTCAGATTTCACTTGCCACTTATTTTTTTAAAATCTTTTCTTTTTGTTTATTACATAACTGATTCATATTTACTGCAGAGCAATGGGAAAGTCACGTAAACTAAGAAAAAGTAATAAAATCTGCTATAATCCCACCCCCGTAGAGAATCACTGCATGTTGGGGGGGGGGGAGCTTATCATATCTTTTGATATGTATACATTCAAACAGATCATTTTTCAAAAACAAAGAATCATGCAATACCTATTACTTTGTAACACGTCTTCTCCCTCGGAGAACTCCTCCAGCACCTCTAGGCTTAGATCATTATATTGTCGTTGCATTTAATTGCTGCATAGTATTCTGTCGTTTAGAGGCACCCTGCTTATTGAACCTGTCTTCTCTTGTGAAGCTGTGATTTCCAAGAGTTTGCTCTCACAAGCAGCATCTTAGCAGTTTTGTTGATATGAACCTCTGTGCCCATGCAGGGACGTTCCCATAGGATGCTTGACAGAAGAAGCATCATTAGGCCAAGGGCAAGCGTGCTTTTGCAACATTTAGTATGCATTGAGGAAGTGCCCTTCAGAAAAGTCATTACAATGTGTTCTCCCACAGTTTCATTTGAAAGCATCCATTTTCTCATAATTTCTTGTCACTTCCTTTCATTTAAAAAAAAAAACAATATTGCAGGAATTAATTTCACGACACGATAATCCAGATAATAGTCTTGCTATTGTTCACCAAATTGGTAGCTGAGAAAAGTGACTTTTATATTCCAGTATAGTTAATTTAACTCTCTTCTTTATATTGACCTGATATCCACCTCTGAGTAGTAAATTTAAGTCTTGTGAGGTTTCCCTGATGGCTAAGAAAGGCAAATGAATAGAGAAGAGGGAAAGAAGAACCCATGAACAATTACCTGGATAATTCACTCCTAAAATCCTGCTAGGGGAGCAGTGAGGGCGGGGGAGAAGTACATTTGCATCTTTATATTGACAGAATTCAAGCTCTCTAAATCAGGTACCTGTGCCACTTTACAACAATGATTATCAGCATTTAATTTTTTGCTTTACTTTGAGTCTAATGCTCATAATAGAAGCTTCCATTTTTCCGATGATTGCCATGAGTCAGGAATTTAGCGATTAATTTAATCATCACGACAAAGTAGGAATTATTCCCCTGTTCTTCTGCTGAAGAAATCAGGGCCCAGAGATGTTGAGTAATTTGTCCAAGGTCACGCAGGCGGTCACCAGACAGAATGAGGATCAGAGTTCAGGTTCGTCCGTCTCCAAAGCCCTTGCTGTCACCAGTGTGCCACAAGGCCTCTCTTTTGGTGGAAGAAAGGACGCTGTGCTGCCTAAGGACCCCTCCAAGCTGATCAGACATCTCACATGAGTGCATGAGCCTCCTGCGGCCTGGCTCCGCTTGGCACAGTTGTACTAACACTTCTTTCACTTCTTGACTTCCCTCAGGTCCCAGACAAACCAATGAGGAGCATCAAGTATATGGAGAAGGATATAATAAACCTCAAGAAAGACCTTACACGAAGCCGGTGAGTGAGCCCTGCACCGAATGACTCACAGACAGCCCGATAGGGACAAGCAGGCTATGGGGTGATGCCTGTGAGTCTTTGCCGATTCTCAGTGCCCCTCAACGCTGAACATTAAGCAGGAGATTTGCAGGAGGGTAGCCCTGTAAGGGCTGGGGATGGGACCCATTTCTTGGTTGGACTCTTCAGGGAGTACCTGCACAAGACCGACCTACCCATTCTTGCTCAGGGCAGTCCCATGCCTAGAATTCCCTCTGCTTTCCTTTCTTGGACTGAATCCAACTCAAGAGAGTTCCCTTATGCTCCAGAAGACTCTTCCCGTTTTACTGCACGCCCACAGTGTGGTAGCCGAGAGTCAGATCGACCTGGTCTCAAATACTGCTATACCTGCCAGCTGGCGACACTGGAAGAGTTACTTAACCTCCCTGAGTCTCTGTTTCCTTAACTGTAAAGTGAGTATAGTATGAGGTTGTTAGAAGGACTGGGTGAGATAATGCATAAAAGTGCCATCGCCTTGAAGACAATGCCATTCATATCTTTTTCCACCCCATCAATTCCTTCCTCCATAGCGTGATAGCGTGAGCAAACTGAGGTCTAGGATCATATTTTTGTCATCTCTTGGCGTGAGGAAGGATTTCTTTCTCCTCAACGTGGCGTCATAAATGGGGCTTTTGGCCAAACAACTGAAGGCGGAGTAAGAGATGGAGATTCTTTTAACACAGAACACGTAAGAGACACGCTAAGCGGGGGTCATACAGGCAGCGCGGAGGGTCTGCTTATCTCACGAGCCAGACCCTGGTAAGAATCACAGCAAGATGCTTCCTTCCTCACCTCCATGGTCTGGAAGCTCTTCCTTCACTGCGCACCTGCATCTCCTCCCCACACGGCTTTGACGGAACGGGTGACAGCTCAAGAAGAGGCAGGAAGGTGTGGGCTTTTGAAACGGGGGAGAAGGAAAGGGATGAAGGAGGCTAACGGGGGCATCAGAATAGGGCCCCAGAGAACAATATTTCCCCACCGACCACAGGAAGGGTGGCTGCATCGGCTCTGAGAGGGGCTCTGGGCACCCAGTGTCCAGCAGAAACATAATGTGAGCTGTTCATGTAATTTAAATTTTTTCAGTAGCCACACTAAAAAAAAAAAGTGGGAAAAAAACAAGTGAAAGTAATTCTAATAATATATTTTATTTAGCCAAATAGATCCGAAGTATTGTCACTTGACATGGAATCAATATAAAAAGGTATTAATGAGATACTTTATAGTCTGTTTTGAACATGTGATGAAAAATGATGAGTGGTGAAAATCCACAGTGTATGTTGCACTTAGAACATATATCAGTTTAGACCAACCACATTTCAAGTGCTCAGTAGTTGTTACAGATTGAACTGTGTCCCCCCAAAATCCGTATGTCGAAGCCCCAACCCTCAACGTGATTGTATTTGCAGAGAGGGCCACTGAAGAGGTAATTAAGGTTAAGTGAGGTCCGAAAGGTGGGACCTAATCCAATAGGATTGGCGTTCTCATAAGAAGAGGAGAGGATGCCGGGAATGTGCACACACACAGAGAAAGGGCCAGGTAAGGGCACAGCTAGGAGATGCCATCTGCAAGCCAACGAGAGGCACCTTGGTCTTGGCCTTCTTGCCTCCAGAGCTAGGAGAAAATAAGTGTCTGTTGTCGAGACCACCCATTCTGTTATGACAGCCGCATCAGACTAACATAATAGTCAACATTGGAATAATCCTGCAGAGAGTGTCCCCAGCTCAAGGGGGGATGATGGGGCTCAGTCTCGGAGTTTCGAGCAGAGCAGAGCTCAGAGACGGCATGTGAACTTGTCCCTGAAAATCAACAGATGATCCGCACAGGGACCCCTCTGTTAGTTGTGGACACATTGGCCTCTACAGTGTTTGAACCCAGGTTAGAGGGCTTTTGAGGCTGATGCCTTGGGAACTTGGGAGCCCCAGGGACTGGTGAGAGGTAGTGTCAGGAGGCCAGAGTTACCTGAGTGGGGCAGCATCTGGGCAGGCAGCAAAGGAAGAGGGTTGCACAGCTGAGGGTGCACCTCCCAGCGGGGATTTGTACTCTGCTCCGCACTCATGCCTGAAGGACATTCCAGCTTTCAGAGGGAATGTTCCAGGCTTCAGAAGAAATGGTACAGCAGGGAAATTGCATCAGAGGTGAGGTTCCATCTGTATGTCATGGGCACCAGTCAGAACAGACACTGGCCGTACACAGCCATTATGACCATGTCAGTTCTTACCAGCTGAGTGTTGCCAGCCTGGAGGTCGATGATTCTAATCAGGCCTCAATACATAGCAGAATCTCTGGAGCCTAGGAAATGAGCGTTTCCATGATAATTTATACTGTAGACTGAGAGCTGATAACTACAAGTACCAATACATGCCTTGATCTATGTAGGTTCCAGATACCAAGACTCAACCCAGTCCAGGGAGGGCAACAAGCAGTGGTGAGCCAGCTTGTAACCAGAACTGACTCGCTAAATTTCCAGGAAATTTGACAGCCAAATTATTAAACGCAGCTATTGTTAAAAATTAACTTATATAAACTTACAGTTAAATACATTGTATTAAAACAAAGGTGATAAATACTCGCAACTCACCATTTCTTTTTTTTTTTCTTCTCCTTCTTACAAGGAGAGCAACATTCGCCCTTTTCCTCCTTGCATGGACCTTGTAAGGACCCAGTAAGATGGATAAAAGTACTCTGGGAAACATTAACAAATTCAGGGTATTATTTAAATACTTCTCACTTTCCCCTTGAGTCTTACTTTGCCACAGTTTAAGCCTTCTCTGTTCCTATAGCACTGGCTTTGGCATTTCATGGCATTTCCGTCAGGAGGCTCACAGCCCTCCAGCCACCCTCCTGCTCCTGCCACTAGCTCGCAGCTCTGTTCAATCTGCAGCACTGATTGTTAGGTCTGAGTAGATTCCCTGGTCCACATAGACTCAGGTTAGTCTCTTCCTTTACTTCCTTAGTAACCTGCTAAATCCCGATAGACATGTGGTTCTCAATTGCGGGTGATTCTCTTCCCTTCCCCCCTTCCCATGAGGAGACATTTGGCAATGTCTGGAGTCATCTTTGGTTATCATTATTGGTGGGATGGTTAGGGATGCTGGTCACCAATTCCAGTGTGTGTGTTGTTTTCTCCCACATCAATCTATTCTCTGACACCAGCTGAGTGTCCTATCATTCAACTCAATTCTGACGCTGTCTACCCCAGAGGTAGTATCAGATTCCAAAGGTTAAGGGCACAGTCCCACAAGACTCCCCTCCACTTCAGATGACAATTTCAGGCCTAGGTTGTTACTCATGCTTCTGACCCACTGGCTATAAATCAGAGGTTCCCACAACCCCTTCTGTGGGTTTAATTTGCTAGAGTGGCTCACAGAACTCAGGAAACCTGTATAATCACTAGATTACCAGTTTATTACAAAGGATATTGAAGGATATGAATCAACAGTCAGATGAAGAGATGTGTAGGGTGAGGTCCCGAACAAAGGAGCTTCTGTTCTCGTGGAGTTTAGGGCCTGGCAAGGTGGTGGGTGGAAGTGTTTGGGTTCCCCAACACTCTTTAGCCTCTAATGAAAATACCAGCTGCATAAAGGGAGCTCCAAGTGTCTTCTTACTTCATCCCTTCTTCAGCGCTCCGCCTGTATTCTCCCCTCCCCATGAAAATTATGAAGATGTCTGTATACTTAACAGGTGTTGAAGGTTTGAGCTGAAAAATCCAAATTGATGGTGGACTCATCAGGAAGGAGAAACTGGGATTCATTTCCCAGTAGTTTCCGGACCGGCAGTGGACAGACGTGGGTTCTGGTCCAGGCTTCGCCTCTAAGTAGCTGGGCTCCTTTCGACAAGTCTTAGAATCGTAGAGCCTTTGTGTTGGAACGGAATTAGGGGTCATTTAGTCCAACCTTCTTCTTTTTTTTTTTTTTTGTTTTTTACATCTTTATTGGAGTATAATTGCTTTACAATGGTGTGTTAGTTTCTGCTTCATAACAAAGGGAATCAGTTATACATATACATATGTTCCCATATCTCTTCCCTCTTGCGTCTCCCTCCCTCCCACCCTCCCTATCCCACCCCTCCAGGCGGTCACAAAGCACCGAGCTGATCTCCCTGTGCTATGCGGCTGCTTCCCACCAGCTATCTACCTTACGTTTGGTAGTGTATATATGTCCATGCCTCTCTCTCGCTTTGTCACAGCTCACCCTTCCCGCTCCCCATATCCTCAAGTCCGTTCTCTAGTAGGTCTGTGTCTTTTTTCCCGTCTTACCCCTAGGTTCTTCATGACATTTTTTTTTCTTAAATTCCATATATATGTGTTAGCATACGGTATTTGTCTTTCTCTTTCTGACTTACTTCACTCTGTATGACAGACTCTAGGTCTATCCACCTCATTACAAATAACTCAATTTCGTTTCTTTTTATGGCTGAGTAATATTCCATTGTATATATGTGCCACATCTTCTTTATCCATTCATCCGATGATGGGCACTTAGGTTGCTTCCATCTCCGGGCTATTGTAAATAGAGCTGCAATGAACATTTTGGTACATGACTCTTTTTGAATTATGGTTTTCTCAGGGTATATGCCCAGTAGTGGGATGGCTGGGTCACATGGTAGTTCTATTTGTAGTTTTTTAAGGAACCTCCATACTGTTCTCCATAGTGGCTGTACCAATTCACATTCCCACCAGCAGTGCAGGAGTGTTCCCTTTTCTCCACACCCTCTCCAGCATTTATTGTTTCTAGATTTTCTGATGATGGCCATTCTGACTGGTGTGAGATGATATCTCATTGTAGTTTTGATTTGCGTTTCTCTAATGATTAATGATGTTGGCAACTCATCATTTCTTAATGATTTCATACATTTTACTGCTAGCTGTGCAGTTGAGGTTATTTCTGGCTATAGTATCTGTGTGGTGGAAATACTGTATGATGGGGGCTACTGCAAATCTCCTTCCAGCTCCACATTCACTGACA